AAGTGAGCTTCATTAATAATTAATATTGTTGGAGATCGACGTAGAAGAATCATGCGATGTTTAACGTTTTCGTCTAGGTTTGCGTTTTGAAGCCGCCTGCCAACTTGGAGAATTCCACATTTGTCAACAAATGGTGTAAGCTTAGTCAGTGGATTGGAATTTGACAATGATAAACCATTTGAAATCAGACGAATCTCTTTAAAAAACCATGACTGTTGCATTCGTTGTACCCAAAAAATAAGACTTTGTTGTAATTTGCCAGGTGTGATGGGAGTTGAATTTGTTGGAGTACGCCGAAATTGAGTAATAGCTCGACGACAAATTGTAGTTATTCTTAAAAATTGAGTTAAAGTAGAATAGCGATCAATTGGATTCCAATATGACAGTTGACGATTGATTATTAAGGTGAGAATTTGACTTGGTCGTTCTTCCATATCAACTTTGAGACAAGAACGATGTTGTTTTTTTGGCCAAATAGAAACATCTGATAACCAAGAAGGTCCTGTCCACCATAACGGCTGTTGTTCTAATTGTTCAGCTGTTATGCCTTTGGATGCACAATCAGCAGGATTTTGCTTGCCTGGAATAAATCGCCATGAAGCAGAAGCTGTTAATTTTAATAACTCTATTTCGTAATTCTCTTTCCATCTGGAAAGATAAGATGTGATCCATGTTAACGTAACTGCAGAATCTGTCCATAAAAAGATGGGAATTTTTTCGTTAAATAATACTTTTTTAATATGAGATATTAGCCCTGATAATAAATAGACAGCTGATAATTCTAGACGTGGAATACTTAAAGTTTTTAGAGGAGCTACTCGTGTTTTGGCACAAATCAAATTTACAAATGTGTTTTCTGAGTAAACAATACTTGCATATATGACTGCAGCCATGGCTAAATATGACGCGTCAGAATAACCATGGAGTTCTATAGAAGATGCTTTAGAAGAAATGTGTTACCACCGTGGAATGGATATTTTGCTTAGTTCTGGTAATTCTTGCCGAAATTTGCACCAACGAGATTATAACGCGGAAAGTAATTCGTTCTCCCAATTAATTTTACATAACCAAAGCTCTTGAATAAATATTTTTGCGCGAATAATAATTGATGATAGTAATCCTAAAGGGTCAAATAATTGAGCAATTTCTGACATTACTTTTCGTTCGGTAATCCTTTTTTTGAGTAGGCCAATTTATAAATTTAAATTCATCCTTATTTTGTTGCCAATTAAGTCCCAACATTTTAATCCCGGATTCCATTTCTTCCGTAGAAATTTCTTCGCTAGAAGAGATTAAAATATATTTTAGAAGATCTGGACTGTTGCTACCCCATTTTTGTAATAGAAAACCGCCCGCCAAGCAAAGAAATATTAATTGGTTTACTATTTCTTGTAATTCTTGTAAAGATTCTGCTCCTCCGAAGATGTCATTAACGTATCGGCCTTTGGTCATTGCAGATAAAGCAAGAGGATATTTAGCTCCTTCATCCTTAATCAATTGTAGAAAACTCCGAAGAACCAGAAACGGAGCACAATTTAATCCGTATGTTACTGTAGTTAATTTGTAAGAGATTATTTATTGATTTGGTCCATACCAGAAAATTCTTTGCAAGTCTTAATCTTCGGGATGTATTTTAATTTGCCGATACATTTTAACAATGTCAGTGCCGAAAATATATTTATGACGCCTTATCCATAAGAGAACTTTCGAAATATCCGGTTGAAGTTTTGGGCCAGAATGTAGTATATCATTCAACGAAATTCCGGTACTTGTTCAACTAGAACCGTTAAATACTACACGGAATTTGGTGGTACGACTTTGTTCGTGAAGTACTCCGTGAAACGGCAAATAGAAATAAGATGTTTTATCTATTTCTGAGACAGGTACTAATGTCATATGGCCCATCGATTCGTATTCTTCTATAAAAGTTATGTATCGTTGTTTATATTATAATAATGTATGTAATAATTAAGATCAGAATCGAGTCTCCGTTTTAATCGTGATAAGCATCGAAGAGCAGTAATCGTAGAGTCACCGAGGGATATGACGGGAGATTTTAAAGGAAGTCGAACAATATATCGCCCTGTAATATGTCGTGAATGAATTGTACGGAAAAAAGACTCACAATTAGCGTCTTCCGGGCTAGGAGAAGAAATATCTTGTGAAAGCACTTCTTCTTGCGTCCAAAAACCTGTAAGAAGTTTGTCGAGATTGTGACCCCGAGAACAGTGATGTCCCATTATCGCTGTAGTATTATTAATAGAAGATGCCGGTCCGGAAAGCGTCCATCTGAAAATAGTTAACTGAGCCACACGAGTGTTAATTTCGCCTCTCAATATGTCTGGTTTGATTATTTAACCATAATAATCAGCGCCGATAATAAGATGCACAGGCCCAGGATGTCCGAAATCTTGATCGGTTAAAGAAATATTTTATATATACAATCAAGAAAAATTTGATGCGTCAAAGGAAGATATTTCATATGTTAAACAGGGCAATATTAATGCTTGAATAGAACATTATGATGTTAAATCATATTGAGAGTGTAATTGTAATATAACTATTCCTTTAATACGGTCAATGTATTTTCCACCAATTCCAATTAAAAGAATAGAAGCTGATCGACGGGTAAAGTATAATCGTTTTACTAAATCTTCTGCTATAAAAGAAAATTCAGACCGTTGATCTAGGAGAAGCCAAATCTTCTCAAAATTTCCGCCTATCTGCAGTTGCGCTTGACATGTGGTTAATAAAACTGGAAATCGTTTTATGTCAGCTTGCTCAACATGATAAGTGAGTGTCATTGATTGCCATTGCATATTAATGGAAGATGAAGAAGGTGCTTCGGATGTAAAAGTGACTTGATTAAGTACAATTCTTGAACATGGATTTTGACGATTTATCATGCCAGAATGGACAATTGTGTGGTGTTTTCTACCGCATTTTTTTACACTGTATCGGCTATTGGAACATTGTTTAACTGTATGATCTCCCAAACAATTATAATATAATCGATATTGCTTGACTAATTCTCTTCGTTGTGATAAAGAACGAGATGAAAAACTGGTACAGTTAATAAGAGCATGTCCTAACTTGCATAAGGGGCATATTGATGGTTGTCCGCTTGGAGTAATCGTTATGGCTGCGACGAGACTTTTCATACGTGTATCAGATTTAATTGGGAGACGGTTTATACGTTCATTACCTTGAGACGAATTATTATGATGTACTTCGATATTCTCCATGGCGCGGATTCTATTAACTAAAAATTCTTCAAATTCTGCAAACGAAGGATATATTGTGGAAGAATATTAATATATTGTGGAACCCATTTTAACCTCCCAAGCTTCTCGCATGTCTGAATCCAGTAATCTGATCAATTGATGTAAGAGAAGCGGGTCCCAGTGATGTGTTAAACATCCTAATGATTAATAATTATTATAAATGACGGCCTTCAATTAGCTGATCCAGATTTTCGCCGTCCTGGTCCAGTTAATATTATTATTGGATCAGATTATTATAGTAAAATTATTAAATCAGAAATATTTATAGAAGATTCTTCATTAATCATTAAATATCTTAATTTAAAGTACAGACATTTTAGTATTTTCGCGAGTAAAAAGTGAGTGATTAGACAAGTTTCAAGACAACATGGCCAATCTACGTTCTTGTATTCAACTCCAAGAAAGCAGATTCTTTTTAATTCAACAAGCTTCTGAGGATGCTATAGACTACCATTCAACCTCCAATACTCGCCAGATGATCAACACCAGGTTAGAAGTACTAGAAGCCAATTGGAATAAATTTCAGTCTGAACATGACAATATTTGCCTAGATTCTGAATTATTGATAAGCGAACTATATTTCCGACATAAAACATTTTTTGGTCCTATCTGCCTTCTCAGTGAGGTTGACAAGGTGTTCGAGAGGGTCATTATTGCTCGGATAAAGCTGAGTACCCCACTGCTGTCCAACAATCAATATGGCTTCCTTGAAGGCAGGTCTACTTATGACGCTCTTCTGCGACTACGACGGGTGGTGACGAAAGCGACTGACGATGGTGGCGTCGCGATAGCCGTCAGCTTGGACATCTTAAACGCTTTCAACTCCCTGCTGTTTGCGCGGATTAGGGAGGCATTGAGTAGGAAAAGTTTCCCGTACTACCTGAGGAAAATTGTGGACGACTATTTGGTGGGACGTTTCGTCGAATACTCAGTAGCGGGTGGCGGCGTGGCACGTTGGGCGGTTGGGGCGGGGGTTCCCAAGAGCTCTGTCCTGGGTCCCCTTCTCTGGAACCTGACGTACAACGCTGGAGTCGCGCCTGTTGGATGGGTGCCACATCTCGGGTATACTGACGACACATTGGTCGTGGCTACTGTGGGGACGGTGGAGGTAGTTAGGATCCGGGCCAACATGCAAACGGCGGCGGTAGTGCAAAGGATACGGCAGCTCGGACTTTTAGTGGCGGCGGAGAAGACGGAGGCTGTCTTCTTTCATGGACGCAAGAAACTACTGGACTTCCTGGAGATCAGGGTCGGAGATGAATGTATCCAGTATTCTAAAATACTTGGGAATAATTTTGGATAGTCGCTGGAAGTTCCACGACCACTTCCAATATGTGGCTGCGAAGGCTATGAAGGTGGCTCGTGCATTGGACTGACTCATGCCTAACCTCAAGGGCCCATCGGAATCTAAAAGGAGGCTGTACGCTACGGCGGTGATTTCGATCATTCTATATGGTGCACCGGTGTGGTGTGATGCGCTGGCGCCAGTGACGGCATCTGCGAGACGGGCTCAAGCCTGTCGTGAGAGTTCAGCGCTTCCTGGCGCTAAGGGTGGTCGCCGAATACCGTTCGATATCATTGGAGGCAGCCTCGTTGCTTGCGCGCATCTCACCACTATATTTGATCCCGATATACTATTGTCGTATGTTTGAGCGCATTCGTGATCTGAAGATCTATGGAGTGTGGATTCTGGAAGCCGAGTAGGAGGCCCGCAACATGGAGAGACTTCTGCTTGAAAGACAGTGGCGTATCCATTTGGGCCAACGTGAGTTATCGGAGGCGAGAGTTCGGAATGCGGTGTTGCCTAACTTCCTAGACTGGATATATCATGATAGGAGGCGCGGGATGAGTTTCCACTTCACCCAAATCCTCACGGGACATGGATGCTTTAGAGATTACCTGTACTATATTGGGAGGGATGTGACCAGCCTATGTGCACACTGCGAAGCGGGGATAGACTTTGCTCAGCCCACTTTGGAAGAGTGTGTGGCCTGGAGGGTTGAAAAAGCGGAGCTTAAACGGATGGTGGGGGACGACTTGACTCCATCTTCACTTGTGAGAGCAATGCTTGAGACCGAGGAAAATTGGACGGTTGCTGTGTACTTTGCCGATTCCGTCATGTCGCAGAAGGAGACGGCGGAAAGAATTCGGCAGGCTGCTGGTGCTGAAAGACATCCGGTCTCCTTACAGGGATGACTCCCCGTCATAGTCGCGAGAAGTGGATCTTTTACGGCAGGCTAGTATGGAGGGCGCATTCCCTCTTGTGGAGGCTGGGCGCTCGGTAGCTACGCGCGTACTACTCTTCTTCCAGGGGATCGGTACAGAGACGGGATTGGGAACGGGTAGCAAGAGTTCAGGAATGGGTAGGTTGGTATAATAGGTTGCTGCTGGGGAAGAGGGGGTCATGGAAAGGCCATTGGAGCCATATGGGCCACTAGAGCCATATGGGCTGGGGCTCCCGGTTCCATGCGTCTCAATTAGGGTAAGGGCAGCGGGTGTGAAGTGGTGTCCCCCCTTGCTACAAGTCAGGTTAGGCATGAGTGCGGAATAACACTAGACCGGGGAAGGTCCTGAACGGTATACGTAAGCGCTTCTCGGATCCTTTTTGGGGTCGAGGTAGGACATTCAAGGAAATTTTAGTCGTTGCAAGTCCGACATAACTCCAATTTTATTCCAGTAAGGTCGGGGTATGCGTAGGCATTTCCTCCCCGTTACCAAAAAAAAAAAAGAAAAAAGTAGTTATATAGTATCTCTTTATTTTCTACTTCAACTTACAATGCTAGGAAGTTTTTTAGCTTATATCCTATCCTTATTTTACATTTTTCCTACACTCCCTTTCTTCTTTTTCTTTTCGCCATTTACCCTATTTATTTCTTAAGGGGTAACGCCACTCTAGAATTTTCAAAAAATCGATTTTTTTGCGTTTAAATGATGCGTTAAAGTCTTAAAAAAGGTTGTACACTTAGTCCCGTAGGGCGAAAGGAATTTTAAGTACCTGTTTTAAAACCGAAACTGCCGCTCTATGGCGCGTCACCGCTCGATCGATAACCCGATGTGTAGAGCGTTCCGAGTTTCTACCTATTTAATAGTTTTACCAAACGGGATAATGAAAAGGAAAGTTTTCAGGGTACCTATAGAATGCTTGTAGAATGCCTGCCGCTCTCAGATTTCTTTCTGATATTAGTGAAGGTTAGAAAACCGTTGAGAAAACAGTGCTCGACAGTGAACGCTTGTAAATTTTATTGATTTGTAGTTTTTTTATAACTTATATTCAAAAGTTTAGTAATATTTAATAATAATGAGTACTCCTATGCATCCTGGAAAAAAAGGAACGAAGCAAAGTAGCGGATATATGAAAAGGCGAAAGATTTCCAGCAAACGACCGTTGAACCGCTATGAATTGGAGACGCCGGAGCCGGAGAGCGTCAGCACATCTGCGAAAAAATTAAAGCAGGCAGAAGAATCAAATAAGGAAGTTGAAGTAGATGAGGCATTTGGCTATCGACTGATAAATTTTGTAGCAGTTTTTAATATTCTTTCTAATGTTTTAGTGTGCAAAATATGTAAATCAAACATAAAATTTACCGAAAGTGGGAGACGTGGTTTAGGTTTTAAAATTGTACTTTCTTGTGATAATTGTGAACAAATTATTATTCCTAATTGTCTATTCGTAGACAAATCATATGAACTAAATCATAGAATGATTTTAGCAATGTGATTATTAGGAATCGGACTAAATGGAATAGAAAAGTTTTGCGCATTTATGGATCTCCCTCGGTCGATTTTTCATTCTTTTTATGATAGACTTGTTCATACAATTTGTAATGCAACGGAAGCTGTTTGCAAAAATAGCATGCGTAAAGCTGCACAAGAAGAGAATGAAAAATACATTAAAAGCGGACAAACAAATGATATTACGGTTTCAGGCGATGGATCGTGGAGAAAGTGCGGTTTTTCGTCTCTGTTCGGATTGGTGACACTTATTGGTTTGTTTACCAGCAAAGTGCTTGATATTGTTGTGAAATCAAAATACTGTAAATCTTGTGAATTTTGGGAAAAAAAGAGTGACACTGAAGAATATGTAGAGTGGTTGGAAACACATAGAACACAATGTTAATCGAATCACCAAGGCTCGGCGGGGAAAATGGAAGTTGATGTTGTTATAGAAATGTTTCAACGATCGGAAATTGTAAATAATATTAAATATATTAACTATGTAGGAAATGGGAATTCAAAGACTTTTAAAGCTCTTTTCGAAGCACAGACTGCTGAAAATAAGGAAGTTTTTAAAAAAAGAATGTATCGATCACGTCCAGAAGCGAATGGGTACACATCTTCAAAATGTAAAAAAAAATACAAAAGGTTTTGGCGGAAAGGGAAAATTAACTGGCAAACTTATGGATGAACTATCCATTTATTATGGATTAGCAATACGCCGGAATCATGATTCAGTGCAGAAAATGAGAGATGCAATCTGGGGAACACTGTATCACAAGCTATCGACAGACGAAAAACCGCAGCACGACAAATGCCCGTCCGGAGAAGACTCGTGGCAAAAGGCTAAGGCTGAAAATAAGTTGCATGAATACAAACATAAGCCAGCCCTTCGTGACGAAGTTTTTCAAGCCATTAAGCCTATTTATGAAAAACTGAGCATCTGCTTGATCTGCTTCAACGATGCATTGGCGGTTTTACACAAAATAGCAACGAAAATTTCAACGCTCTCGTATGGTCGATGGCTCCAAAATCTGTTTCCAGCGGCAAAATTGTGCTTGACACAGTTGCAAATTTAGCTGTGTGCATATACAATGACGGAATATCGAGTATAATACAAGTTATGAAACTCCTAGGCTTGAATATTGAACATAACTGTTATAATTACTGCTTGGAGACCGATGCTCGCCGTATTAAGTTTTCTGAGATTTCATTATATGATGCTGCGAAAGAGGCCAGGACGTCATTAAATTCAGCCAGAAAAGATGCAGAGCACGAGGATTTTGATATGGAAGGTGAAATCTACGGTGCAGGCATTGCCGACTAGAGGTATATAAAAAAATTTATTACGTTTTTAGTACTTAAAACTTTAAACGCATTTTTCTCGAAACAATGTTTTTCAAATTGGCCGGAAACAAAACTCGAAAAGTTTTTGACCGATTTATTTCAAATTTGCACAGTAGCATCGTAATTAGATTCTGCAGAGACTGACGTAGGGATATTTTGTCAACTTCTTGTGTTATAAACAATTTACATTGAAATTTTTTACCGAAAAATATATTTTTTTTTTCAAATAAACACTACTTATTCAAAATTCAATATTTTCAAAATCCTCTACGTCAGTCTCTAGTCAATTATATATAGTTTTAAAATAATTTTTGTTTTTTGTTCTACATTAAAAATTATGGGAGTAACCTTTCCGGCCGTGAAGCCCCTTCGGCGAGAGGAGGCCTCGAGTCTTTTATAATATAGCCGCCATTTTGTGTATAAATATTAATAAAGAATTTTTTTATATACTTTGAAACATGTATAATAAACTCCTATAAATAGATTTCCCATTTTCTTTATTGTATTTCCGTTAAAAATTATCAAAGAAACGTCTTTTTTTCGAGCTCTAGAGTGGCGTTACCCCTTAAACTACTCCTTTCCTTTTTACCTTTTTTACTTCTTATCCTAGACATTTCTTAACCTATACTTTGACAAATTCCATTCTTCGAATTTTTTTATCTTATATTCTGGGAGGTTTGCCATGCCTTCCGAGAGGAGTGCAAGCGTACGAAATTTTTCTGTTTCTCTGAGAATCGAACCCGGGCCTCTTGTGTGGTACACTAGTAGTATGGTCTACTGTGCTACACTTGTATTCCTGATGCTACATAGTATTCTTGTAGTAACTAGCAAGTGATACGGTTGGAATGAAGTAATAAACTTCAAGAAACAGGAGTTATATATAATACCACAAAATTACGCATTCGCAGAGAAACATCACTTTGCATACATTACATACGTACACCCAAAACAAAAATTTAATAGAAGTCGAATTCTCTGAATCTTAGAGAATTTTACTCTTATATATGGCCTCAAGAGGATTGCTTTAAAATCAAGAGAACAATAATCTTAAACACAATTCTTAAAGATAGAGGAATTTCATATTGAATATACAGTGCAAATCTATTTGTTCTTAATATAAATTTTCTCTTATATATTACTTTAACTAAAAAATATTTCTTCGGATTTAATAAATTTTATCATATCCACACGAAAGAAAGATCAGAAAATTTTGACCGGGGTGCTTATATGTATCTGTAGATGTCCGCTTTTAATGCCCATATGAGATGAAAAACATCAGACTCGGCTGGAATCGAACCCAGGTTCTTCCGCTTGTCATCAGGCAACCGCTCTTCCCACTGAGCTATTTAAGACTTCATATTTGTGACATCTATATACCCAGTGAAAAATGACTCGTTGATTAACATCAAAATGATATCAAACTAACGTCAGTTTGACGATTTCAACATCGATTTGATTGAAACGTCGACAGTGAATTGACGATGGAAGCTCTAAGTATGACGCTTGGTTTCAACCAATCGTACAATACGCAGCAAAATAATAGTTTCTTCGCGTCTCTCGTACTGCACGTAAGACAACATTGTACTTCAAATTAACATATTTCTCTTGATATAGAGGAGCACAATTAAAATAATATCTCATAAATTCACGATGAGTGGTCCCTTTTAATGAAAGATAAATATGCTTTCTATAAGATATTTCTTTTAGAACATAAGGTTAAAGGAAAATTTACTTTGTACGTAGAATACTTTTTTTTTAGTATATATTCTGTCAAATAAATACCGGGAATTATTCAATAAAACACAAAATATTGATTTAATCATCCAAATTTATAACCATATTGGAGATTTTGGGGAAAGATCAACTAACCATTATATCAACCAATTATTTTTTTGTTTGGATTAATCGTTATAATATTCTATTAAAAGTTTAAAAATAATCACAGAGAATCACTAAGTCATTAATATACATTATGGCTACATCCTAAAATGCATTGTCAGCAATGAAAAACTTGTAACGCTGCACTCGCGACTCGCGCAGTCGGCACACGAATCGGGTGCAGCGACAAAATTATTTCTCTTTTGGTCAGCTCTCACAGTTCGGCGGATTTCGCGAGACCCGACAGCTCAACACGA